AGAATTATGCCTATTTTTTAATCATTTGAATACCAATTTTAAGAGATTTCTTAGTCTGCTCATTTATTCAGATGGTTGAACCACATTGTTAGACTTTGAGACGCAAAAATGTCGAAACTGTATATTATTTGAATGTATTCAAAATATATTCACATTAAAGAGGTTTTCATACAATAACGTTAGACATAATACATATTTCTTAAAGATTTTTTTTTAATAGTGAAATCGGACACAACAATATGCGTGTCAAATCATTAACCCTTACTGTCTTGTGAGTGTTAGCAGGTGTTAATTTATGAAAGATACATCTGGTCCTGGTTGCTGATTAATGTAATCGCATTCAATGATGCTCTTTATTCTTTGATTTGGTGATGTTTGTTATTCGGACACTCAAATTGCAAGGTGAGAGTGACATTCTCATTGGCCCAGAGAGAGAAGCATGGTGTCTCGTATTTGGAAGGGAAAACAGTGTGAAAAAAACAGGAAAATATGGGATGTTTTTTCAGTGGATTTATAATTCATAGGAATTTTAATGTTTTAAAATATTAGGCATCGTTAGCATTGCAGAGCTAGCTGAGTGTTGTTGTTCTGTGTTTTATGCATGTAGATGGAGTGTGCTCCCTGGGAAAGAAATGAACTCTGTTTATAGAACATATTATTCATAGCTAAATAAAACCCACATTACACTATGCTTCCAAATGCTGTGTCTTATCAGCCCTGCCATATTATTCAAAACAATAAAATAGGCCATGATAATTGAATGAACGTTTTGTTTATGGTCGTTTAGTTGCCGTGTTTGTCGTCCATTTTCAGAGGCTTTTTCTGTTATAATAAACCATGCAGCACAGTGCATGCAAACCTGGTCCTGCTCCAGTTAATTTCGCAGAGGCAGTTTATAACCCTGGTCATGAAAAAAGATAAGTATTTTTAAACTCCTCATGTTCCTTCATGAAGACAAACTAAATTCTACATGACACGTTTGATTATCGCAGGCTGGTCAAGTATTAACGGCAGACAGCGGCTCTCTGTGGACCGTCAGGCGGACGCTGACGTGCCTAATGCGTCGTGTAAAGCTGTTTATTTTCCGATCTGCTGTACGTGGAAATCACACTCGGGCACTTTGGGAAAGCGGCCGGAGCCAGCCGCGGGCCCCATTTGGGCTGCAGGAGGCCTCGCAGGATTAGCTCCAATGAACCAGAAAGGGAGCGACGGAGATTGATGTAGTGACCTTATGTTTATTTAGCTGAATGCCGACTTCATCGGGAAAGTGAACTGAGAGGAAATCAATATGAATCCGACGGAAATGAGCCCTGCTGGTGTTTGATTGCCTTCCCTTGTGTTTTGGCCGGCAAATTGTAGCGGAGCTGGGCATCCCATTCTAGCATCTTTGTTTTTGTGTGCCTGGGGTTCACGTCCGGCAAAGCAGGGTGTATGTAGACATAGATACGGAGGCTCACGGTCATCAGTTGGGTGGTGTCTTCTTGGGGAAGATTACTTGGCTGGTTCTCCTGCCCGGGAGGTTGTGTACCTTTGATAAGAGTAAATCTGATATTTATTTGATTGTACACGACTTATATTTAGGGTGAGAGCTAAGATCTGTTGAGGATCACTGAATCTGATCTCCTGGCGAATAAAAGAAATCAATGAATAAATAAATAACGCAACATCAGACACCTGTATGTCTAGAAGTACTGGGCCGTAACATAGAAACGATGCAGAAGAGCTGCTAGTCAAGTATTCTGACTGAAACACAAAGGCAAGCATGTTTTCTATATGTCTTCTATATGTTTTACCACACACCACGATCACAAGTAACTGCACAAGTAAGGATGAGCTAGCGGTAAAACAACAAACAAAACACAAAAGCTGTGAGCTACATATCCTACAATAATATTATGAAGCATACAGTTCACTTCCCTAACTAATTCTCTAACCAAACACAGTCCAAAGGCACAAAATTTGTACAAGATCTGTATCAACATTGTATCAAGATCAAAACCAAAATCCACAGAATACAGCTCTTCAAATCTGACCCTCGATTCCAAATCCAGGCCTTGTTTTCAGTTCTCCCAGGTAGTTAGTTTAATAATTACTGACTCTGATTGGCCACAGAGTCTTCACACCTGGCTCACTGGTAAAGGAAGGCTGGGAAATCAGCAGGGCTTGGCCCTTGAGGACCGTGATTTGAGTAGCTCTGCCATACAACAATCTGAAAAAAGTAAGAAAATACAGACAGGTTCTCCCACACAATCTAATATTCAAAAGCCTCTTTTCTATCTTCCTGATGCTATTTTATATTTAGGAATAGGCCATACTTTTCTTGAGGGAGGCGGGACTACTTTTGATTGCCCAATTCAAAAGCCTCTTCAAAGGCTATTGGCTCATAAGACGATAAAGGATTGTTCAAACTAGGGCCTTATGACCCAGGCTCCTAACATGCATTATACCCTGTGGTGGTTGGCGTCCCATCCGGGGTGTCCCCCCTGTCCCTTCCTGAGAAGCACCACGTTCATCGCGATACATGCAGTTATGGAAAACAGCTGGATTGATAAAAGTACTGGTTGTTTTGGTAAATAGCTGGCATAATTGCAGTTTGGCTTTGTAATAATATAATTGGAACAATAGCTCTAGTGTTAGCTATGACACAACTAGCACAGATGTTTAAAAAACAATGCTTGCTAATTAGCATCCAGATTAATTGAACCTAGTGCATTCGCATTAGCATGTTATTCGATATTTACATATAGCAAAGCATTAATTTACACAATTTCTCTGGCGAGTAAGGTAAAGGCATCGAATGAGTAAGTACAGAGTGATCGTCGATCTGCATGAACGTCCACACAGCCATTGGATGTGGCTCCTTCACCATTTGCTGCTCACCGTTGATAAACACATTTTCTGACTGCAAAGCATCTCAAACAGGAGACACGTTAGTGTAATATTGGAATAGCGTGTTGCTAGGAGGTCAGGCAGGCACCAGTGTGACACGTAGGCGTCATGGCAACAGAGCGGCTGACCTCCCCCCAGCCCCACTGACGCCATGGAGGGAGAAACCGCTTAATGGACACATGCGACCTTCGACCTTTCAGCTTGTCTATGTGGCCAGTCAGTCAAATGTGATTTATCCCCAGTGAGATAGTCATTGCTACACGCACGCTGGCTGATTTACGCTGGTGCGGCTAGATGAAAAAGCGGCATTTGGCGTGACGGAGGAGATCCTGCAGCCTTTTGTAATGTTTGTTGTGTTACCAGGTGCTTATGTGTGCATGTTTCTGTCGGTAATTTTAATGCGTAATTGACCTCTGTGCTGATTATGACGATAATGGAGGGGTTTAATGAAACGTACCTTGGCCTCTCTGACTCTTAACTTGCAGTGGGAAAAATTAAGTTATTTTATTATTTATGATGTAATCTTGGGTGGCAGTGCTTCCCTTTTTAGCCCTGATAAAATAAGAGCGTCACCCCAGGACAGACCTGCTGAGACAGAATGATGCCAAGGGTCTGTACCGTGCTATGATTTCTCTTGACTGCAGTATGTATGTTATAGCTAGAGGAATTATATTTAGAGATGACTATTGGACGGGTTAATTTAAATTCATCAGTTCATTAGTTTAAACTGAACTGTCTTATGTCTCCCAAAACAATATACTGTCGATTCAGAACCACCCTATCATAGTTCTGCATAGTATTTCTTATATTCCTCTATTTAAATATATCTCCTGAAATGTTATGCTGCTGTTTTTTATACTGTGATATGTATGATGTAATATTGCGTTTCTCTAAGGTGATACAGCATTACCTGAAGTCACAATGATAGATTTTGTGAGAATTAAGATGAAGTGAATACCCTGATTTTTGTCATATGACAATTAAGACAAATATGGGACATGTTATACCAGGTATATCTGGTCTGTTTAAGGCTAAAAAACATGCATTTGGCTTCTTTATATTATGTTGTGACTACAAGCCTGTACTGGAAAAGTCATTGCAGATGAATGATTGGATGGATGGATGGATGGATGGGTATTACACAATGGTTAAGCTAAGGTAACAATATGAAATTAAAGTAACCAAATTCAATAACAAAAGCTACATTTTCGAATGGAATTTATGCAGTTGTATGTTTTCATAGTAGCGACTGTTCGCACCCTTTTCTGTTTAATTGGACTCGCACTGCTTAGGCTCCATATTCTGTGCACAGTGTGTGATGAACTGCAAACCCAGGTGTTTAGTGGGAAAGGCACCTCTTTGGGGACCGCTTAGGAAATGTCAGCCTGATCCCCGGAGCAGCCAAAGAGTGCATAAATTACAGCCAGCGAACGTGAACAGTAAATACGACACAGTGGTCGCATTTACAGCCCTTGGAGCTGGAAAACGTGCATCTAGCGGATATAAAAAGATAAGCGTTGCGGTTGCGTCACGCTTGCGCGTTCTTCTTGACATGCCGTGAGCCGGACGCCTGGCGGAAGATGCGGCCCAAGCCAGCCATGAGTCAGCAGCGGAGCCCATCACCATAGCAACCGTTTCCCTCCAGCGGGGCAGAGCCGCGCTCACAACTGCTTACCTGTTAAGCGAGCCGTCTCCTAGTTACCGCTGTCCCGCCCGCTGAAGAGATAAGGGTCTGGCAGCTAGAGTATAATTACCCTGTAATTGAACTCGGAGTTTATTACATAAGCTTAACAGCCACGCTAAATTGGAGGCGGTACTTTAAAGTTGCCTCACACTTTTTCAGACCGAACTGACAAGTAGCGTTCGGTCGTTTTCGTGAGGAGCCCAAGACCGGGTCACGACAATAAGATATAACGACTTCATTTTATTTATGGGTTTATTTCTTGGGGCCATCTGCCAGTGAAGTCAGTGAAGTTTTCATCTCATATAGCTGACTGTCGAGAGTAAGTGACCTTTGTGAGAGAGACCCGTGAAACACGTACCCCTAGAGGGCGCCATTCCAAGCTACAGCTTACCCGGCCGCTCCTCCCCTGTCATTTTCTTGTTCTCAGCATGTGTCCGAGTTGTTGGCCGTGGTCCGGTTGCCCTTCATCCACCCCAGCTACCTGCTGAATGTCGTCGACAACGAGGAGCTCATCAAGTCTTCGGAGGCCTGCCGGGACCTGGTCAATGAAGCGAAGCGCTATCACATGCTGCCCCACGCACGGCAGGAGATGCAGACGCCCCGCACCCGGCCTAGGCTGTCCGCAGGTACGCCACGCCGCGTTTGCGCCGCTCCCTGGCCGGCCGCCCACCCACCGTAGAAGTGGCCTTCGGCTCCCCGCCAAATTGGTCAGGTCATTAAAAGCTACCCTTGCAAATTAGCGCAGAGCTACTTCTGTAGAGTGTATTTTTGTCCTGGTGGCATTAACTGTGTCCTGCCCATGATGCCAAATGCAGCTCTGTCGCTGCTGCCGTAGCTTGGAGGAAACTCATGTTCCAATTTGACCCATCAGGGCATTGTTCCACCGGAACCTTCCATGTTTACTACAAATGTTTATACTGCTGTTGTACCACCTGCACTGTACCTACACATATTATTTGTTTGTTTGTTTATTTCTATGTTTACTTGGGGAGGGGGGATTGTGTCAGGAGTTATTTCTGTAATGCAGATGGACAGTGGAAATGTTCCCTCCGAGAGATGAGTGAAATTTTATTTCAACTTCTATTATCTTATATTTTCGCAGTTCTGCAGTGTTAGTCACTACTGATTACATAGCAGTAGCTGCATTAGATGAGGAACGATTTTGTGTATTAATGTAGAAATTGAAAATGTCTCCTGTTGTGCTAATGCAATGCATGTTAACTGCATTGATTCATTTAAGTTTGGGCTTTTTGCACCAAATCTATTTAGATATCTAAAAATATTAAAATCCATTTCCAGTTTGCATGACAGGATGTCAAAGATTCATTTAGAACCACAGATGCTTTTGGCAGAAGTTTTCCATTCCAATATGATATTACTATGTGTAAAACAATACGTGCCTATAATTCAATGTCATGTGAAGAGAAGCTATAGATGGCTGTGTTGTTTTCAGTGCCACACCACAAGGCAGCATCTGTTCGCCCCTGTGCACCTTCTTCTATAGCCGTCTGAAGATCAGTTGACGTTATCTGCATAAGCCTGAACCCCTCGCCTATCCCTGTCCAGCTGCCAGTCACGACCCCAAATTCAGCAGATAGCAGCCTGATATATACAGGTGTATGACAAATACTTAAGTAACTTCAATAAAATAATATATATATATATATAGTGAGCGGGTGTCATGGCAACCTATCAATAAATACCTATTGTTGCTGTGTGTTTGTACATATTTTAGAGGATAGCTAGATACACTATTATAAATGCAGTATTATAAAAATTATATTTGTAAATGTCTGGAGGTTATTTTCGAGGAGTTCTGCCATCCTGTTCTTTCTTCAACATCATCCGACATTTATTAGACAAAACAAGCCTTTTATAAATGGTAAATCGATATTTGAATATAATTTCCTTCTATCTGCCAAGCCTCAGGACTCAATAAAATGTTTAATTATTGACTATAAAATATATTACTAGCACAGGGCACCGTTTTGGAGGATCTGTTGCTCCTGTGGGTGTCAGGAAGGACTTTATGGAACGTATTTACATGCTTAGCAGACACTTATATCCAAAGCGACGTACATTTTTGAAAAAGCAGGGTGTGCCAGTCCTCGCAGCGATGGGAGGCTAAGGGCCTAACTGTGATATCACTCGGCCGACTCTGGGATTTGAACCAGCGACATTCTGGTGAGAGTTACACACCTCCCTATTTGATTGATTGACTGTTGTTTAGGACACATCCATTATTGTTATATAAAAATGGTTTTGGGTAGTATATGTAATGCTACAGATCTGCAGCATCGGTCTGTCCTGCCTCCGTTGGTAGTTTTCCTTTTATTACTGTGTGGCTCTGATCTGTAAAGCGTTGAGCCTTCCTGCATACCTGTACCTGCCGGCGGAGGCAGATCCTTGGAAATGGTCATTTCTGCAGCAGTGACTGTCCCCTCCCGTTTTGATGCTGCGCCGCTCCGAACGCACAAGCTCTAGCCGTTAGACCATCTGGCCGGCTGTCATTTCACACGCATGAGGCCACGGGGGGGGTGTCGATCTGGGTGTGGGGGGGGTGTCCAGTGAGGAGGAATGTCAGCCGTGAGTTTCCCGCGTCGTCTCGACGGTCCTCGAAAGTCACCGAGGCTTGTTTAAGCTTCAACCGCTGGCATTCAGAGACT